ACAATACCATTTTGATAAACAATACGAGCCACCCCTACACAGACAGTGCTTGATTAGATCCTAAGCTGTTACAGCTTAGGATCTAAATTCACACATAATTGTGTGAATTTCTTTCCTTTGGGCTGAGAACAATTCTGCATTATGCGACATATTTGTCACTTATGTTGCTTTTCAATTTCTCTTGGCTGAGATATTAACCAGACATTGCCGAAGGACTTGTAACATGGAGAAGCAAATGTGTTAGTAAGGGAGGAGGAATGAAGGGTGCGTGCCTACTAAAACAAAAAGTAGCGGTTTAAATATAAAATTCTAGTCAAGAAAATATTTTTTTATTTTTGGTGAAATTTGCCCAAACTACTCGAGCATTATCTATGCTAGCCGTCCATAATTTTCAAATAACCTGACTAGAGGGAAGGCAACTGGTCAACACCATCCACCGACTTTTGGGCTACTCTTTACCAACTAAAAGTACAATTGACTGTCAAATTATACTGCCCCCACGGCTGAAAAGATGAACATTTTAGGTAATGGGCTTCAGTCCCGCGATCAACAGAGCATGACAGGCCTAAAAAGATACGAAAACTATTCTATTAATACTGCAATAGTCTAAAGTGGTAAATTTTCATGGCATAATAATAATAATGAAAATTATTTAGAGAGGCTACTCAGATGTCTTGCATTACATACTAAAATGGTCTAAAATATTCCGATGTTGAAAAATGGGGTTAGGATCACAGGAATAACAAAAGAAAGGTAGAAATTCTGAATAGATTAACTCCGGAAGATGACCAGACTAATGAACGTTCACTCTCACAGCGGAATGGAAGATTTAATTTGTAACACAAATGTAAACAAACACAGCGATCTATCATACATTAATTACAATATATTTCTATGGAAACGAGTGAATATAAAGGGCCACAATAACCAGGTTTAATGAAAAATAATTACGTTACACCCAAATTTCTCTAAAACGGCTTAGAAAGGAAAGTAGAGTTTAATTAAAACACGGCCCTTTTAGTAAGCTATTTCACGTGATCATCATTGTTTGCTCATCCGATTATACCATTTTAATTTGATGAACGGTTGCGTTTTAAGTAAGTTTAAGCAACCAGGTAGAGCCCTTTAAGCCTTGGATGTTTAATCAACTCTTTATTACCACAAAAAATTAATTTAGTAAAATTAAAATGTGAAAGTTTTGTGTGTTATAATGCAAGTATGATGAGGATCATAATATTACAACATATACAAAAAATATTTACATACATGAAAGCTAGAGGTGGACTGAGTGGTCATTCTCGTGTGTCTGATCTGCCATCAACTTTCATTTATGGCCAGACATCATTTCATTCCGACCTACCTGTAAAATAAAAATAATTTCTTCATATTAACACTACTCATTATTTCTGTTTAATCTCGACACCAATATGTTTTTCAAGCGTCAGTATGTGCATATTTGTTATCTTTATTTATTCCTTTTTTCTCTAACAAATGCTTTAGTGCTTCCACGTGTAATGGATATAACATAAAAGTCGAATGAGATTTTTTGAGAGTATAGTAAATTCTCAGCACTGAAAAGCCCTATAATGGTAATACGATACTCGCTCAACACATCGTGAATATTCACTCGTTCTAGTAAATGTGTTTTTTGTTTTTGTAAGCTAGTGGAGATAAATTATGGTGTCACACCTTAACATCTTACTCACTATTGGGTGTAATGGTTTGGGATTTTCGCAAGCTCGTGTTTTAGCTTGCAACTATTTAAATGTTTGATGCGCTCTTGTCTGTCGTTTCAACTCGCATTTCAAAATTACCTTACTTCAAATCCCTATCCTTACTCCTTTAAAAACATCAATAATCAAAGATCTTTTAGTTAAGGATATTCTTAACTCTGCTTCTTAATATCGATTTAGTATGTTAACGTTTGAGTAGTAAGAGATTTATTACCTTTGCTTAGCTTCTGAAGGTATTGCATGTAAGCTTAGATAAAATTTATTACATTTTTTGAAGTTCAATAAAAAAGGCAAAATTACTTTCTCCGTGACTGTGCTTTCAGAGATTGCCTATCGATTTCTCCTCAAAAGCTCCTTCTTAAACTGTAAAGGATATCCATGTTCCTCACCGTCTTCAAATACAAAAAATAAATTCATTAAGCTTGCTTAACGTTAGCAATTTCTCGGTAGGGCTGACTCACATTAAGTAGGCAAAGTTTAAAATTTCTTTGGATATTAGGAAAATACTTTGGAAAAAATTCAAATGTCTCACGCAGTCTCATTTTTGTTATTTATTTAGGAATCTCCGTTTTTTAACGTGATAATTTCTTCTTATAGGAAGTAGAGATAGCTTTTTATCAAACACTAAAGTAATCAAATGTTAACAAATGACTCTACGAATATAATAAAAACTTTGTGGTATAAAAATGTGACTATTCTCTCAGTTAAATACCATTTTTATAAGTGGTATTGAAATATTGTACTATTAGTAGATTTACAAATGTTGTATTGTCGTGTAAATACATAAAATAATATATTATGTGAGCACCTAAATTCTGTAGTTTCATGTATATTCACAAGTATTTTTGGCGTGTGTACACATAAGAATAGTGTGTTTCAAAACTTGTATTATGAAGGTATATGAACACTATACTATTACGTAAACATGGAATTAATCTTATATTAAATAGGACTACAAGTGATTTATTATCACGCAGGTGTATAAATGTTCTAATATGATCAAGTTATAAAGCGGACAACATATTTAGAGCATACAACATGAATAAGTTATGGAAACAAAAACTAACTGAGACATTTCTCTTAGCAGACAATTTTTTATTTCTTTTATTCCTGTAAACTCCCAGTGGAGCCAACGGAAGGTGTTGTTGCAGTTACTTGTAGCAGGTTGGTTTTTACGGGGTTGAGTTGCTAGACCCGCGCCCAACCCTCCTCCTTTCTCATCCTGGACTTGGGACCAGGCAAAGGCGGAGGTTGGCATGTTTGGTGTGACGGGGATTCGAACCCGCGACCCTCAGATTACGAGTCGAGCGCCCTAACCACCTGGCCATGCCGGGCCTTAGCAGACAATTAGCAATAAGAAACAAAATCTCGCTACTTTTAAATGTTTAAGTTTAAAGAGATTCTATGAAAGTTCTTGTTTCGAAAGGCAGGTAAATGTTCAGATTTCTATTGTGTTTTTAGGTAACTTATGACTTCTCGTGTGTTTTACTACTTCTCCAAGTTTCAGGCAGTTATCTATTGACATACTTTGGGATAAAATCTCTATGACAATCACTTCATGGGAAACGATAACAAAATGGACCGATTTGGAATTAAACATATTAGAATATTTACTCATTATCTACTGATACATATTATTTAATTGATAAAATGGCGCTAATATTTATAGCAATGTTACATCTGATATCAACTGAAATTAGTATCAAACATTTCATTCTATGTCTATAAATGTGACTGGAATTCATTTCTCGATAGAAAGAGCGTGATTTTTTTATCATTTTTCAACCTTTTTAACACTGAATGTAATGATTGCGAATAGAATAGTTTTTAACATTCACAATTTTTGAAACTTAAAAGAAATGTACTCATTTATTTTCAGTATATCTCATATTTCATCGGATATATTTTACACCCCCCCCCCTCAGTAGTACAGCGGTATGTCTGTGGACTTACAACACTAAAAACCGGGTTTCGATACCCGTGGTGGGCAGAGCACAGATAGCCCATTGTGCTTAATTCCAAACAAACAAATATTTTTATAGTTTTTTCTCTCCATAATATGCTTATTTTAAGCTAAATGTATTAATGTTTAAAATCATATTTTTTTCTCTTTTCCTTTTCAGTGTTTTATAGCACTTCCCAAAACCGTTCTACACCTTCGACTTAGAAGCATTGGTTTTATATGAAGTCGTACGGAAACCGTTCTACACCTTCGAAACAGGAACATTGGTTTTATATGAAGTAGTACAGAAACCGTTCTACACCTTTGAAACAGAAACAGTGTAGTGTGAAGTAGTTCCTGAAATCATACTACACCTTCGACTTAGAAACATTGGTTTTATATGAAGTCGTACGAAAACCGTTCTACACCTTCGACTTAGAAACATTGGTTTTATATGAAGTCGTACGGAAACCGTTCTACACCTTCGAAACAGGAACATTGGTTTTATATGAAGTAGTTCGGAAACCGTTCTACACCTTCGAAAAAGGAACACTGGTTTTATATGAAGTAGTACAGAAACCGTTCTACACCTTCGAAACAGGAACATTGGTTTTATATGAAGTCGTACGAAAACCGTTCTACACCTTCGAAAAAGGAACATTGGTTTTATATGAAGTAGTACAGAAACCGTTCTACACCTTTGAAACAGAAACAGTGTAGTGTGAAGTAGTTCCTGAAATCATACTACACCTTCGACTCAGAAACATTTGTGGTCTGATGTGCCAGTTGTATTTACTGTTGTTGTTTTTTTGTTTTTTTCTCAAAATCGAAGCTTGTTTAAGAAAACACTTTCTGATTTAAATCAATATTAATACAAATGCTCTGATTTCATTGTTCTCCAAATTACTAAAAAAGCCTAAAAGGCATTGAATTTCAAAATTTATCAAATCGAAGGTTTAATACATTTTATAGTAATTTTAGTGTGATTTGAGAGACAGTGGCAATAAATTGTTTTGAAACAGAGAATAACCGATTACAGAGAGAATAAAGTAAATGAGTCTTGAAACTACAGTTTTTGAGGGAAATTGATCTGTTTCCGCGTTCTTCTCGCCTCATGACAGTTTAATCTCAAAAGAAATCGCTGCATGAAAAAAATTGGTTTCCTATAAAAGAGTAAGATACAATTGTTTTTCTACGGCTCGAGAATACTTGAAATAGGTCAGCACGGTGTACTCCTTAATGAGAGTAGTTTAGATCATCAGTTACAGTATTAAAATAATAAATATTTAATTAACGAATCATTTAACCGATCTTTCTTTCTTAGCTTCTTTAGTATAAATTTTTCATCCGCGAGTGTATTTCACGCATGATTAACAAGAACCAAAAATACTCGGTTTTCTAGGCTCTTCAGACATGAGGACATAGTGTCTTTGCGTAAGAATGTGGTTGATGTCTGTTCTGTGCTTTTTACTCCCAGCTAGCGTTCTTGGTTCTCTGAGAGAACAAATCTGTCCTAACGTGTGTCTGTGCTCAATTCAACCATGTCAGCTTCTAGAAAAGGATGCCAAAACAGTAAACTGTGTGAATTCTTCTCTTCTGCTAATCCCCGAAAACATTTCAACGGATACGGAAGTGTTAGAAATGAAGTACAACATACTTGGTCATTCTCACAGACTCAGTCTACTAAACCTGCTGTTTCTGCGTAGACTTCGACTGGTGGATTTCAGTTTCAACCACATCAGGAACTTTCGACATCATGGAATCATTCTAGACAGCGTACTTCATCTAAATCTTAGTAATAATTGTCTCATTGTTCTTGAAACTGGCGTTTTTCATGGGTTCCCCAACCTTGAAACCCTAGATCTTAGCTCAAACCAAATCAGTACAATAGCACCATTATCATTAGAATTGCCAAAGTTGAAGACTTTAAACATGGCGCACAATCGATTATCGTCCTTGTTTGCTCATTATTTCGCAATCCTGCGATCTGTGGAATCCCTGCTACTGTCTGATAACCATATAACTCGCCTCTCAGAACCCGTACTCCACCATCTGCGACCCGTCAAGAGGATAGACCTAACAAATAACAGAATAACAAAACTCGATTATCCAGCTTTCCAGCATATTGAAGAGGTCCAGCAACTTTTGTTATCTGGAAATAATTTAGTATTGGTTCCCACCGAGGCTCTCAAGAAGGTACCCTCAATAAAACTCCTTGATCTCAGCCGAAATCTGTTTCATGATCTTCCTTCATTGTCGTTTGATTCGATCAATGTTTCAGAAATCATCCTGAACGAAAACAAGAATCTGTTTGTCATTGGCAGGAAGGCCTTCTACAATATGAATTCGTTAAAAACGATCGAAATTATAGATAATAAACAATTATCATATATTGAACCAGAAGCTTTTGAAAACCTCTTGTCACTGGAGAAATTAGATATTTCAAAAAATAACCTCCAAACTGTTCATCAGGATATTTTTCACAAAATACCATTTATTTCAACACTAAACCTACAAGGAAATCCTCTAAGATGTGCGTGTGATATCAGGTGGGTGCAAGAAATCGTCCAGAATTCCACCAGTGACGTCATCTATGACAACATTACGTGTATAGATGAAAATGATAAAACAAGGTTCTTGGCTATTCTCCAACCCTTTCCTTTGTCTTGTGGTCCTTACATTTTACCACTTTTTCCTCTGCACTCAGACCAACTTCCAGCCTCAACGGTTTCCTTCGTTTGTGCTGCTACAGGAATACCAAAACCAGAAGTGATGTGGTTCAAGCAGGATACAGGAAATTTTACATACAGCGAACACGAAGGTCGCCTAAATATTCACAATGGAGTTTTAAGTATCCACTATCTTCACGTCGAAGACAGCGGAGTATTCGTTTGTATCGCGTCGAATTCTCAAGGAAACACAAGTCGCAGCTTGGAATTGGTAGTTGAGAATGTAAACATTCAAATTACTCCTTTAACGATAGCTTCGACCTTCATAACTTTGTCGTGGAACATGACTAACAATTTCAACAGTGATTACTTACTACAGTATAGCCTCCTCGGTGATGAGAAGGTATTTAGTAAACCAATTGCTATGGGTGTGAAAATCCATTATTTCACTCTCAGCGATCTGGAGCCTGGGGAAACCTACAACATTTGGTTATGCTTACAAAATGGCGGTTTTATAATTAGGCTTAGCTCAGTTCGTGTAACAACTAGAGAAGAAGGTTTTCTCTTCATGCTTGGAATCCATACGAACTACCTTGGTATCATACTTGTCTCAGTTTGTGGTGGTATCGTAGCTGCATCGTGTGTCTGTATGTGTACACTACGTTTCTGCAGGTGGCAGTGTAGGCAACACAACGAGATGGTTCTAAGTGAAACGTCATCACAACGTGGCTTTGCCAAAAGTGACTCTAGTCAATCAGACCTTGCTTTTATGACTTTTGTGAACATGGCGGACGAAACAGGTTTAATGGAGAATGACGAAGAGAGTTATGAGTGATATATTACGTGTCGTGTATGTCGGTTATAAATATATTCATTAACTGGTTTGTATACTTGGAATATTTATTTTCGTAATGTCACTCAACTCAAAATATGTGAAAAACTAAGCAAATTTTATTTTGTGTATTAAACGTAAGTTGTTTTCAGTTATCCAGGTGATTTAAAATAGTTTTAGGTCCAAGTAACTTCGAAAGCTGCAAAAGTAGGCCTACCTAAAAGTATTTTCACTACTTTAGGAATAAATCTCGTTGATCTTATATATAAGTTCTGATTTCAGTAACATTCTTGGTTATACCTGAAGCAAAGAATTCCTATATTTTTCTTGAATTTATTCATTGAAAACAAGATAGATCTTAGTCATTATGCATTCACGACTTTTCACTTTAAACGTTAAACAACTAAATTATTATTATTTCTTTAATATTTTAGTTTATTAATGTTCAATGTTTTGATCGTAATACAACAATTATCTTTAGCTCGTTATTAATTAAATTCTGCTCATTTTCAACGTTACGCCTGGGTATTATAAAATACATGAAGGTCGAAGTGTGACCAAAATATCCACCCAATTAATGTCACCGCTAATCAGCACTTTGCCCCATATAGCATCAAAAGAAAAACAGTCGTTTCAGAACGAAACGAACCTGTAAATCTTCATAATAAAAGAAGTAGATGAGAGATTTGAATAAAATCTGATATTAAAATCAAGTCTATAAGCTTTTGTTTAATCCGTATTTAAACATGTGATCAGGCATCAGGTAACTATTTCAAGCAAAAGAAACATATTAACGATTGGAGACGCTATTTCATAAGTCAAACACAAACATACAATATACTCTTTCGCAGTACACATAAGAACGTAAAGTCTATCAGAATAGGTTTTAGTCATGAACACTTCAATGTTAAACTTTTCACTGATCAATTCAGACTGCAGTGATAATATTTCTCGCGTTTAGTATAAATGGTGAATATTAGTGGTTTCTAAAGCGACATCTATTCTTCATAATTTTATACCCAGATTATTTTATATCTCAGTGATAAATAAGTTGGTATTGATAGAATTAATTATAATAAGATTTAAAAAACTAAAACATATCAAGACAAATATTCTATTAATAACGAGTTTCTAAAACTACTGCATTGAAGGAAGTTCCGGAGAAAATCAAAATTTAAATTTGTAATTAACATAGGTCATAAAATAGGAAATGTGGATTCTGTTGAATAGGAAAATATTGTAAATGATGATGTATTGCTAAAACTGTGTGGGTGCTACTCCCACATATCACTCTCATCCGACCCCCCAGTGGCACAGCGGTAAGTCTACGGACTTATAACGTGGCGACATAGACTGCAACAGCGTGTTGAGGCTCCAAAATGTTTTTAATATAAAGTAATCAACTTCTGTATATGAAATTTGGTTGTTAGCGAATATTAAAAATGTATAAACTGAAATGAGTCCAGATGAACCCAAATATAACAAGAAAATTAAAGCTTGCACATTTAGTCATGAAATAAGAATGTTTATTTCATTAACTTCAGGTTTTTATTGTACATAACCATAAAATTATAATTCTTAGAACATAGCATATTCTATTTAATAACGTATTGGGAAAACAAAGAAGCAAGGCAAGAAGGTTTTTGAACTGACCTTTCTGTATACGTTGTCGCATTATTTAAGTAAGCTATTTCATATAATATGAATGTTTTAATTAAAATAGTAGTGGACTATTTTGCATCCCTATTGGCGCCAGTGATCAGTATTTAATTTTTCCTTCAGGTACTAAAGATCAAACTTTATCTATTTTTCGAATTTCCTTGTGCTATAGACGAGAAAAAAAAATATCAAAACGTAAATAATTCTGTGATGCAGGGTTAACTAAAATGTTATTAATTTTATAAAATGACAAGCATAAATCATATTACTAAAATAAAAATAGTCAGTTAAAATTCTTTATGAGATTGCAAACGGACTAAATTATTTATCTTCAGTATACTATATTTTTGGAACTACTGAAATCAAACTTGATTGTTTATTTGTTATGAATTTCGCGCAAAGCTACACGAGGGCTATCTGCGCTAGCCGTCTCTAATT